ATTTTAGGCAACACCTACAATAACAGTGTGATTTTCTATGATACTGAAATCCTTTCGACGTATCCTGAACTGTTCCAGTCTCATTTTCCACACAAGTCATTGTGGTGTCATTAGACCGCTTTTTTCTTCCAGTACGATTTTAAGTATTCTTCATTGCTTGTTATTTCTTGTTAAAATAACATTATATCAGGCTTCAAAAAYGCTGTCATAAAAACACTTGACATTACAAAATGTGAAATCCCAAATTAGGTCATGATTGGGAACTTGTTCTTTATCATGGAGTCTAATAAACGGTTGTTTTAATTAATAGTATTGATAGTGTTGTTGCTGTGATTCTCTTGGCTGCTCCCATCAATGAGTGAACTTGCATCAGAGATTTGGYAGTTGCTTGACCCCAAATGCCCTTCCTAATGCTAGCTGGATTTGAACCTGCAGCGTGAGGATTATCAGACTGCATCACTAGCCATTGAGCTTCCTCAGCCCCCTGAATATTGAAGCCGGTAAGATTAAAAATCAACACAATATGCTTGAAAATTGTTTAACTTCCCAACCCACACGTTTTTGTCCCTTTATTTGTCTTTGTTATGAAGGACTGCTGTTGCTTCGACAGTCATTGTTTTTTGGTAAAATAAAAGCAGAAAATGATCTGCCTTTGATCAGTCTGGCAAAGTCAACATCAGTTTTTTTTTTCTTGTATTTCACTCCAACCACACTGAAAGATCTATAATCATTGGAAATTTGATACTACAAAAGAGCATGTAAAAGTGTCCTGTGCGAGAATACTCTTCTTGCTATTATGATTGACAAAATGTTATATTTTTCAGGGTTCATGCARGTTTCAGTAAGTTAAATTTAAGACCTTTTAATRCCACTAGGAATGRCATTTAAAACCAAATGACACATTAACAGAAATATTCAAATGGACCCAGAAATTTTAACATAGAAACCTTTTCTTGCTATCAATTTATCTATTAAAGAATATTTAATTTTAATACAAGAACACTAAATTATTTTAATGAAAGAGTCATATCCAGGAGACATTCATATCGACTGCTGTGGATCGCTTCCAATTGAGTGTAAAAACCACTGATATCAAGCAAAGTCTCATTGAAAACACACTTTTCATGTTTAAAYCACAAGCAGTGGACATGACTGAACTTCTTTGTTTWTTGRGCAGGTGAACAGGCTGCCGTATGCGGGGGGTTGTAGCRGCAAAGAGGTCGAAAACAYGGAGGTAAACTGTGCTATTTTTAGCCTGCAGCTATCACAGGATTTGTAGTTTAACCACGTATAAAAACAGGTAGCAAACGTAGCACTTATTGAAGACAGATCACATCAACCTCTGATTACAGCTCTGTTACTCTTTTTATTTATGCAGCCAACAGTTCTCGGGAATGATCGAAAATAAAACAAATTAAGATTTGACAAAATTAAATTAAGACCTTGGATGAAAATCTGAGCGTTTTAAAGACTTTTTTAGGCCTAAAATTTTGATTTTCAAATTTTAGACTTTTTTAGACTTTTTAAGACCCTGTACAGATGTTTTTCAAACCTGTTCATCTTATTCTAACATCAGTTGACAGCTGCAGATTAGCTATGCTGTCCAGGGGTTCTAAAGAACAAAAAGACAAAATGTCCCAGGAGTGATGTTGGATTTGACCATGAATTAAAAGAACTAGCTGAATCAGGAGATGGTTGGTAACAAAGATGCTTTTACTTTTAATTAACCTTGGATTTAAAATGTCCTAAATATTTTGAAGACTAATCTAGATTACAATTCACTGTTCTTATTAGTTTCTTCTAAAAGTGAAAGAACTAGCTGTTTTGTTTTGTTTGTTTTAAAAAAGTGAACTAATGAACTGTGTTCTAGTTTTCTATAGCTACTTTAAAATGCAAAAAACATTGCTAGATAATGCAGTACCAGTTTATCAATGGGAAGTCAGTTCCTTGTGCCAGCAGAAGCTGAATTTGAATCGCTCTGACTGAATCTGTGCATGATATGAAACTGAATGGACTGGTTTGAGAATGAATTTCACTGAAAATGAAAGTCTGATGCTAGATAAGTAAGCTAACRATATTAAGCAACGCCTAATCAGTGATTATACAATCAGGTGTATCTCTTGAGTAACGCAGACTTTTTCCTCGTCCAATCAGGTGTGCCCCTTGAAAAAAAACTCCAATCATGTGTGTGCCTTGAGAAACACCTCCCTTCGGAAGTGCTTACTTTGTCTGCAGAGATACCTACTTGGGACTGAGCCTCCTGTCAGTGCTTTGGGACATGGGGAGGAGATTACAGCAACAGCCACTTCTCACGGAAGAGCTGTGTTCATGTCAGAGCCTCTAAAACCCCCTCCCCAATGTCAAATATCACTCTGATTTCCTCCCCAGTCCCAAAGCACAGACAGACAGCTCAGTCCTCACACAGCGTCACTCCCAGCTGCAGGCAGATATTGATCAGACGCTGCTGCTGACTGATCAATGATGTGATGTATATGTAACATTTTCTATAGGTAACATTAATCACTGCAATAAAATAACAAAGCAAATGAATTCAGATTCAAAACATTAAATTCTGTTTCAGACCATTAAATTTAGTTTCATTTTAGTGAAATTATTTTTTTAAACAATGCATTCAGTTTCATATTATAAACATACAGATTCATTTTGAGCCATTCGAATTCAGTTTCATCTGGCACTAGTTTCTGTCCATATTTATCATCCCAAACATTTGTTTGTTTCTCGAGTTAGTCTGTCTTTGTTACTACAGTCTGAGGTGAGCATGAAAAGAGATGGGAGGTAGCAATGATGTCAATTTAAATGCAAATTAATCAAATAGGAGATTTGAGGTGATATCAATATGAGAAAAGGAAAAGAGAAAAAGAGAAAATGAAAAAAGTCATTAATTAATAAAAATATGAAATAATGAGGAAACACATGGAAATGCAAGGTTTCACATTCACACCCGGTTCACAGAAAACATTCGATTCATTTACAGTTCAACGGTCACTCATTTTTCAAAATGACATGTATACATACACATCATGTGATGTCTTGTGGAAATTTTTTAAAAATAATTAAAATCATGTCAGGGTCTTAAAGAGCTTTCATTATTTAAATATTTAAATTCAGATTTTGTTTTATCATATTTTTAAATCTACATTTTTTTCTCAATTTAATAAATTTATTCATTAAAAATTTGAGCTTAAACAAACTCTAGAACCAAACTCCTAGGTGGCCTCCTAAGATTTAAAGGAAATCAAAACATTAAAAATATGCATATTTTAGAGTAAAAGGCTTTAAAACAACATTGATTGAACAGGACCTTCAACCTTTAAGTACTACTTCATTAAAAACAGGCATTACTTTGAAGAACACAAATATATAATTTTATTTAAAAGATAGTGAACAGTATATTGTATATTTGCAGTAATAAATATAAAGTAAATGTTTACTGTGCTGAAAATAATGTCATTGTAAATATAAATGCCAGGAAATAAATGATTTTGGGTTTGTGGCAATCAATCAAAAACTTTGGATTAATTTCAATATTTAGGATTTGGCATCCTCTTAATTAAAAAGAGCCATCTAATTTTAACTGTTAGAAGGTGTTAATTAAAAAGAAATAAAGCAGCTGCTCCTAATTGTCGTTTGAACTTTAATTTCTTTGTAATTATAAACATATTTTTGTGTTAAGTAGACAAAAGTTATAGAGACATGCACTATTCATGAG